GATGAGTTGGTGGACTTTGGGGAGCCCCTGTGGAGGGCCCTACCCTGCCTGAGGAGTGGAAGGTGGATAGGGTGAGGGGCAGGTGGGGAAGAGGGGGATGGGGGAGGGGAGGGAGAGGGAGAAGGGATTGACATGTGAAGTAAGGTTGTTCCTAATAAAAAAGAAATAAATAATAAATGCAATATTTGCATAAATAAAAACACATAAAAGTAAAAAAAAAGAAAATCAAACAGTAAAATAATTATTATTATATTTCACAAATGTATCACATACATTTGTTTCTGAGGAACTAGAAACTGTTCACTGAGAAAGATAAGAAGGTCCAGAGACTCCTGAAGAGCCACAAATGCCAACTGGAGGCCTATTTCCTGCTCTGGGGATGGGTTCAATATCTGCACATGATGTGATTCTGTTTCTTTGAGGGGTTGGATTTCTCTTTTTTGTTTTTATGGGGCATGCTGGCTAGTTTTATGTCATCTTAACACAAGCTAGAATCATCTGAGTGGGGGGGGGAACCTCCTTTGAGAAAATACCTCCATAAGATCCAGCTGTAGGGCATTTTATTAAGTAGTGATTGATGGGGGAGGACCCAGCCCATTATGGGTGGTACCATCCCTGGACTGGTGATCTTGGGTTCTATAAGCAAGCTGAGCAAACCATGAGGACCAAGCCAGCAAGTAGCACTTCTTCTTGGCCTCTGCATCAGCTCCTGCCTTCCTTCAATGACAGGTTGTTACCTGGAAATGTAACCTGAAATAAACTCTTTTCTCCCCCAGGTTGCTTTGGTCATGGTGTTTCATCATGGCAACAGTAACCATAACTAGGACAGGACAGAAATTGGTAACAGGATACTGGAGTATTGCTGTGACAGAGCTGACCATGCTGTTTTCAGGAGGATTTTGGAAGGACACCTATTAAAAAAAAAATCCTAGCTTTTGTTTGACAGCAGTTGTCTTAGTTACTTTTCTATTGCTGTGATAAAATACCATGACCAAGAAAACTTATGAAGCAAGAGCTTCAGAAGGTTAAAGTCTATGATCATCATATGAGGAACCATAATAGCAGATGGGCAAGCATGGAACTGTAACTGTAACTCAGAGCTCACATTTTGATCCACAAGAAAGGAAATGAAACACTGGGAATGGTGTGAGTCTTTTGAAACCACAAAGTCAACACACCTTCAAAAAAGTCACTCCTCCTAATCCTTCCCTAACAGTTTCACCACCTGGGACCCAAGTATTCAAATATTTGAACATATGGGGGCCATTCTCATTCAAAACAGCACACCAGCAACCAGTAATTATGACATTTACAACTATTTAGACATCTATTGAATTATACATGTCAAATTCAAGATACATGTATGTGTGGTGGGTGTTGGTGACAGTGAGTAAAGAACTTTTCAAAAAGTTTCCTTTTTTAGATTTTATTTATTATGTATACAACATTCTGCTTCCATGTATATCTGCACACCAGTAGAGGGCACCAGATCTCATAATGGATGGTTGTGAGCCACCATGTGGTTGCTGGGAATTGAACTCAGGACCTCTGGAATAGCAGCCGGTGTTCTTAACCTCTGAGCCATCTCTCCAGCACATCAAAAAGTTTCAAATGATGCTGAAGTGTTAATCTAATTAATCTGTCTCTGTTCCTCCATCCAAAAGGCCTGAGATCCTGTCTACAACCCACTTTATAACTTCCTGTCTCAACCTCTCAAGTGCTAGGATTAAAGACATGAGCCACCACCCAGCTACTATGGTTAACTAGTGCCTAGCTCTACCCCCTGATCTCCAGGCAAGCTTTATTTGTCAGAACACAAACTAAATATCACACAACAGGATACCTTACACAAAAATCAGCTGAAAGGACTGGAGAGATGACTTAGCCATTAATAAGGGTTGGTGCTTCTTCAAGAGAACCTAAACCTGATTCCCAGGATCCATACTGGGTGGCTCACAACTGCTTATATATTCCAGTTCTACAGGATACAGTGCCCTCTTCTGGCCTCCACAGATACTTACACGCACAAATCAACACCCCTCCATTTAGATAATTTAAAATAAAATATTTTAAATTGCATTTTTATGAACACTTTGAAATTTTTTTGGTTTTTCGAGACAGGGTTTCTCTGTGGCTTTGGAGGCTGTCCTGGAACTAGCTCTTGTAGAGCAGGCTGGTCTCGAACTCACAGAGATCCACCTGCCTCTGCCTCCCGAGTGCTGGGATTAGTGTGTACCACCACTGCCCAGCTAAACAATCCAATTTTTAAAAACAAGCCAAAGCTCTGAAGACACCTCAACAAAGAAATGTAATAGGAAAATATGCATGCAAAAAGGTGTTTACCACCACATCTCATTGAGGAATTTCAAGATGTTCTTAGACATCTCTTAAAATGCCCAAAACCCAGAACACTGTTAACAGCTAATGTTGTCAGGGATGAGGGGACAGTGGGATAGTCATCTACTACTGCCTGTGGGAATGAAAACTGGAGAATCCACTTCAGAAGACAGTTTCTGTTTCTTTCTCTTTTTTTGTGTCTGGTTTTGCCTCGTTCTGGGGGTGGGGGTGGGGGTTGTTTTGTTTTTGAGAGGATGTTTATAGCTCACTCTGACCTCCGTCTGCATTAGCCTCCCAGAGTGCTGGAATTAGAGGCGTGTATTACTAGTACCTGACTGAAGGTTGACAATATCTAATGAAGCTAAACTTACTTTTACCATAAGGTCCAGTGATAACACTCTTTGGTGTTTATGACACAGACTTGAAAGTCCATAATTAGTGAAGATTGGAAGCAAGCAGG